ATTTATATAGCACATTTCATACACAGTGGCAATTCAAAGTGCTTTACATGAAAGAAATTAAAATAATCAAAAGAAATCAGAATAATTAAAACAGTTTAGAATAATAATAAAAATAAAATACAGTATCAAAAATAAAATGAAGTACAGTAACAGTCGGACGAACAGTGGCACAGTGCTCATTCAGTAAATGCAATCAATATAAATAAAAACAGTTAAGAGTAAAAATAAAATAAAATAAAGTAATACACCTATCTGAGATGGGTCTGAGTCTAGGTTGTACCATTTCATGATTTATTTCTCTTCCTATTTGCAATTCAAATTTGAATGTAAAGGAGTAGAATAAATAAAATATAAAAAATAAATTTTCTGTTTTTGGTGTAATGGGCTTTATGCACAGCTGCACTACTTCCTGAACTTCAGCCAGCTCCTTGTTTCCTGTCTGCCATTACTGGGCAAAATTGATTAATTCAGGTGTGTCTGATTATTGTTGCCGTGACAACTGAGGTCAAGCACACCTGAATTAATCAATGTGTCCAATAACGAGGAGCTGGCTGAAATTCAGGAAGTAGTGAAGCTGTGCATAAAGCCAATAGCTGAATGGTAAAGCCTTTATTAAAAGTTTTGAAAAAGTTTAAAATCCTTGTGGTTCATAGGTCGTATTAGACAGACAGAGCGATAGCAGGATGGATGGATAGATACAGTGCCCTCCACAATTATTGGCACCCCTGTTTAAGATGTGGTCGAGGACTTTTAAAAATTCTCCCTTTTTTTTAAACAACATAGAATCCAAATGCAAAAAAAGAGAAAAATCCAACCTTTTATTTAAGTACATTACTTTGGTGGTACATTTTTTTTTTAAAATTTAAAAAAATAAAAACTTCAAATCATGTGTCCCACAATTATTGGCACCCCTGATGTTAATACTTCGTACAACCCCCTTTTGCCAACAAGACAGCACTTAATCTCCTCCTATAACATTTCACAAGATTGGAGAACACAGAGAGAGGGATCTTTGACCATTCTTCTTTGCAAAATCTTTCTAGATCATCCAGTATCCTGGGCCCTCTCTTGTGCACTCTCCTCTTTAGCTCACCCCACAGGTTTTCGATTGGATTGAGGTCTGGGGACTGAGATGGCCATGGGAGGACCTTGAGTTTGTGACTGAACCATTTTTGTGTAGATTTTGCCACACGTTTTGGATCATTATCCTGCTGAAAGACCCAATGACGATCCATCTTCAGCTTTCTGGCAGAGGCCATCAGGTTTTTATTTAAAATGTCCTGGTAGTTCAAAGCGTTCATAATGCCATGCACCCTAACAAGGTTCCCAGGGCCTTTGGAAGAGAAACAGGCCCACAGCATCACAGATCCTCCACCATACTTCACGGTGGGCATGAGGTACTTTTCGGCATACTCATCTTTTGTTTTACACCAGATCCACTTAGAGTGTTTGTTGCCAAAAAGCTCAATCTTAGTCTCATCCGACCAAAGCACACGATCCTAGATGAAGTCCCAGTGCCGCTTGGCAAACTCCAGACGTTTACGTTTGTCAGTGTTAGTGAGAAAAGGCTTTTTCCTAGCATGCCTCCCAAACATCTTGTTGGCATGTAGAGAGCGTCTGATGGTTGTTTTGGAGATTTTGTGACCCCAAGATGCCACTATTTGATGCAATTCTGTGACAGTGAGCTTAGGACTTTTTTTTACTTTTCTTAGCATCCTCCTCACAGTGCGTTGTGGCAAGATACACTTGGGACCTCTTTCAGCCTTGTTTGTCACTGTTCCTGTTGTTTTAAACTTCTTAATGATTCCTCTAACTTTAGATATGGGCAATATAAGGTGAGTGGCTATTTTCTTGTAGCCATTGCCTGACTTATAAAGGTCATCACACATCTGCCTTACTTGAATGGTGTGTTCTCTTGTCTTTGCCATGTTGACAAATGGGTAAGAGAATTAGGCCTCTGTGTCATGTCATATTTATACCCCAGGGAAATAGTAAGTCATGAATTACTAATTAAAAATTCCTAGATATCCTGACCAACATTAGCAACTACAGAAAATATATATATTTTTAAAAATCAATTACATTTTTCAGCGGAATTGTTAGGGGTGCCAATAATTGTGGGACACAGGATTTGAAGTTTTTATTTTTCTAAATTTTTACATTTTTTTTTTTTACCACCAAAGTAATGTACTTGAATAAAAGGTTGGATTTTTCTCTTTTTTTGCATTTGGGTTCTATGTTGTTTAAAAAAAAGGGAGAATTTTTAAAAGTCCTCAACCACATCTTAAACAGGGGTGCCAATAATTGTGGAGGGCACTGTAGATGTCAAGTTATCCAGAGTAAGCAGAAATCTCTGCTTTCAATCCTTTTGATTTTGGCTTTGATCGATATTTTGCGACCAGCCTCTGTACAGGACGTGGGGTGAAGAAACATCCTAGTAATCTGAGTTTAACAGTCTTAACTCACATCTGCCTCTCTCCCCATCTCCAATTAAGCCAGAGCAGACTGCAATCTGCCACACAATATGCTTTGTTTCCCTTTAAATTATACACACAACCACACAACTGTTCAATAAAGAAAATGCATCCACACCCCCTTGCTTGATCTCGTTTTTGCTGTTGCCTGGAGGAAAGGCTTTGCGGTGGCAGCTTGAGATGCATCAATGCATGTTCAAAACCAACAGATGTCTGTTTTTTTCTTTCTCTAGTTGGACAGCCTGTGTACGTCTTGGTTGCTACAGTTAGAGAACAGCCAGACCTTCACATTGTTATTGAGGACCGTCTGTCAAGTAGATTCACATCCAACAGCCGAAAAAGTGGAGAGAATAAACAGTCGCTGTAAAAAGCGCACATACATTTTGGGGACAAAATGAGTACAGAATAACTCATTTGAAGCATATATAACACAAGTAGGAAACACAAACAGGCACGTCCACTTGCAGGCAACTTTAAACTCTTCCACTTGACCTTCGTTCTCAGTTGACCTGACACCGAGCCACAACATGTCTTCGGGAGATCCACAGAAATAGAAGCAAGGTCTCGAGCCATGACCTTTTAACCCCTTCCGCTCTCCCTGTCCTGAGGAAGGCCGGCTGACAGCAGGAATTAAATAGAAAGGGCGAGATCTTTGTTGCCTCGCGAACAACATAGTCTCAGCCGCTACTTGCCTCTCCAATTTGTCCTATTAGGCTGTGGAAAAGGCAACAGGACTAGGTGATTTCTTGTGTTCCTGTCTTTTCGGAGCAGGGCGAGATCAAGAAGAGCAAGAGAGAAAGAGGCACGTCATAAAAAAATAAGGAGGCAGAGAGCAAAGAACACGGGACACAGAAACACAGAACATCCTTTCTCGGGGTTACGCTCGCGGCGGCAGATGATCATTTAGAGAAGATGGTGAGAGTGAGCGCCTGTCTGATGCTTCTACAGAGGGGAACAAGGAAGGCAGTGCTTCATTAGCATTGCTGGAGCTGTCCGTGGTGCTGATGGGAGCTCTGATCCCACTAAGGGCAACACTACACACAGAGAGGCTGACGTTTCAGACGACTAAACGTAAATAAAAAGCATGGAGGAGAGGAATCGTCGTTCCTTGGAAAGTGGACGCGTGACGGGTGCCGCTTTGGACACGGACGCAAACCGATATGATTTTTTTCTGGCTTAAAGGGCTATTCGACTGCACCGTCACGGCCTGTTGTAGTGACGGGCTTCTATCCTCCGTAGGGTCCATTTAGGCCACTGCTGCATGCAGACAGGGTATTTAAATGGAGATTAGGTGAAAGGATTGTCAATTATGTTGTTTTCTGGGTTATTGGTTTCAAAGAATACCTATATGGTCTCTTTTCAGACTCATTCAATTCAAATGCTAGGTGATATTATCTTTTATGTGATCTATTCTGTGAAACCACCCCGTGCAATTCCCAAATACTTGAGCTCAGATGCAAAAGCTAGTGAGCTAACAACCTGGAAATCATTTGAGGTCATTATAGACATCTTGGTAAAAAAGTTATGCAGACTGCAAAGAGAACTGAAACTCAGATCCCAAGTGGAATGATACAATAAAAACAGTAATATTGTGAAATAATATTACAATTTAAAATTTAGAATATATTTTAAAATGTCATTTATTCAAGTGAATTCTCAGCATCAATACTCCAGTTTTCATTGTCACGTGATCCTTCAGAAATCATTCTAATATGCTGATTTGGTCTAAGCAACATGTCTAATTAGCATCAATGTTGAAAACAGTTCTGCCATGACAACTGAAAGTTCAATAAAACAGCTTTTGCTTGAAATAAAAATATATATTTTAATTATTCATGTCTTTAATGTGGCATTACTTTTTAATGCATCCTTGCTGAATAATCCTTAAATGGCGCCCAATATTTTGATCAGTAGTGCTTTTGACGTAATTTAGTATACCATGCGGGTACTGCTTGTGTCATGCCATGAGACTCGTGTCAATCATCCATGCATCTTCACTGACTTTGCAATCCCAAGCTCTGTGGAAAACAATCAACAACAAAAAAATCAATAATTCAATAAATCCATTTGTCTTAGCAACAATCAACATTTGGTCAAGTCTCATGTGCTTCACATAATAAAATGCTTCACTATTTAATAGTCATTCACTTATGTTGGCTAAAGATGTGGTAGACAGCAGTTTTACATTATCATTCCTTTATTTTAGGCTACCGACATCACCAAAATAAAATAACACAAGTGTCCTGCTGCTGTGAAAGGGAAAAATTAAGTCCACGGCTAAAACTCCCTCCCACATTATTTTCCACTGGATTAATTAAACTAGAACGTACACCTTTGGAAACAGCATTCGTTATTATTTACAATACAATAAACAGTGTGATTGTGGGTAGCAGAGGCTTTCATCTCTCCAGGAGGTGCTACCTGCCCTTCTAGTCCTCACCACCGACTCTCAGGTAAACGTGCATAAAATGAGATTTCTGAAAAAACGAGAAAACATACGCACTCTTTTAATGAGGGAAGTGAAAGAAAAGCCAAACAAACGAATTTCTTGCATCATTTTTCTTTTCCTTATTTTATTTGAAACATTTCACCAAAGGATGCCATCGCAATAATGTCTATCCAATAACAAGAATGTTGTTTCAAAGAATCAAAAAGGGTGAAGCGAGTGCAGTAAGTCCAGGGAGAACAAGAGAGAGAGAAAGATGTGATTTCACAGGTAATCTCATTCTGATGTCACGCCTGATTGAGAGCAGTAAAGAGGAAAATCACATCAGGAGTAGCAGAACAGAAAACATCACGAGGAGGAATGTGAAAACGTGCCAATTATACAATGAGAAAACACCAGACAAACACGTGCACATAATGAGACAGACGCACAATAAAGGTCTAACAAATAAAAAAGAAAAGAAAAAGGAAACGTTATTTGGAAAAGCGACAGATCCGAGAACAAATGTGCAGAGAAAGAGTGTGCATTATCTCAGTGAGGATTGCTAAGTTGTACAAATACTCCTGGCACTCAGGGATCTGCTGTCAGCAGCTCTCGTAATACAGAACCGCTGCTCTTGCATAGTACCGTCTTTCTCTCGAGGGGGACGAAACACAACTAATACATTCTGTTTTATTTCGAAAAAAAAAAAAATGAGTACATCAGATAGTTAAGTATAATGAGTTCCATGCATAATAAAACTTTTTAGGATTCATTTGGCATTAACATGAATACAAACAACGGCAAATCAAACTGAAAAAAAAGTTATTTATATTTATAATAAACATATAGCTATATTATATGCTTTTGCTAGCTGGGGTAAAATGAGTCTGAAAGCATAAAGGGTAAATTCGATTTGACAAAACTGTTATTGCTCAAAGCGTATACATAAGACACATGTTCCCTAAAGAGCTTTTTAAAGAGTAAAAATTGCTCTGTTTATGACATAAAAAAAAGATACGAGTGCTTGGCCCAAAGGTCACTGTAAATGGTCCAGTAATTAGCTGTTTAATAAAAAAAACTGCGAGTTTTCATCGTGGACCAAACCAGCACAATGACTCGCATTCTGTGGACAAGAAGTCTGCTGTTGGAGGTAAAAGGGCAGAGGAGACGGATGGGAAAGGTTAATTGTTAAGACTTTTCCTATGCGCGTATGTGCGCAACCTCCCGGCATTTATTAGCAAAAGGTGACTGTGAGCTTTGCGTTTCTCTTCTGTGTCACCGTAGCGACTACACGGGTCAAACCAGAGAGGTCCGAGGAGGCGGTGATGTCATCACAGGGCACGCAGACGGGCGAGCAAGGCCTCCACGTCCGTGTCACCGTTGGATGAGCAAAGCGTCGGAGTTTGCTCTTTTTCCTTTTCTCTCTCAGGCCGGTGGGTCGGCCTGTGGGCTGCAGACGGATGGGGTTCGCTCTCGTAATGAGGCTCCTTGGCAGTGGGTGCTCGTGTCGAGTTGAAATTGATATTCTGCCGCGACCGTGACCTTTGCAGAGGTGCCTTCATGTTTTCTGCAGGAGGGATGGGAGAGAGATGGGGAGAGAGAAAGAAAAACAGGTTCTCAAGAAAACGTTTATATAAGTTAGCAGCTCTTTGAGGACGGGTTGTGCAGACAACTAAAGTCATCAAAGAATTGAGAGAGGAAGACGGAGAGCGATGCAGCCGACAGCATGACAACACGATAAAAATTAAAGAGGCGCTCACCTCGGTACCGTCACCTCTCGGCCTTTTTATTGCCGCCGCTGTTCCTCTAGCCTTTCCAGCATTAAATCTCTGATCTGTGATGTGCTGCAGCGTCTCACTGACTTAATGCTTCACTAACCAGCTGAACAACTTAAAGTCATCCTTCCGACCGTCCTTCTCTCACTCAGACAGAGATGTCTGCAGAATAGTTCACAAGTCTAGGTTCACCAGCGAAAAATGCTTTGATCAAATCAAAGCATTAGTTCTATGATCAGCATTACAATTTGACTGAAAAAAAAAAGACTAATAGCAGCAGTGTCAGCTTAGATACCTTGAAATAATGCAGAATCTTGATGCTACGTCATTCTATTTTTTATTTTAATCAAATTTGATCAAATGTGGTCTCAATTGAAGCCTATTTTCTGGGTAACAAAAACAATAACAAGTAACTGAGACATAAAAGTCAGATATTACTTCTCTCATTTATGATTTTTTTTCTAATAGTTTTTACTTTTAATTAAAACAACTTCATATCTTGCATGTTTAATTTTAAGTCTTAATTATTAAGATAACAATTAATAATAATATAATGCTGGAATTAGGAGAAGTCACATTGTGAAAAATAGTCACAATTATGTGATATATATATATATATATATATATATATATATATATACTTTAGACTAGAGCCCGACCGATAAAGGATTTTGAAGGCCGATACCGATACAAATATTTTTGGGTTTTAAAATCCGATATTCCAATATATATCGGCCGATATTTTATTTATTTATTTTAAACTGGACATGATAGTCACAAATTTTGTCATGCTTATTTGAGTTAAGAGAACTGATGGGGATGTTCTTTTAATTGTTATTCAAGCAATGTATGTATCGTGACCAACTCATCGAGTGTTGCCAACAGGAACGGTGTAGAGTACCCTCTGGTGGACAAACTACACAACACTCATGACATGGTTCAAGCGTGTTTCGTCCGTTTTTATTTTATTTTTGAAATATTCATTTATCGGCCATTATAACTGCCGATACCGATAGTTTGGAAAATGCCTAATATCGGTCTGCCGATATATCGGTCTGGCTCTACTTTAGACCTACTGTATTGTAAATATTGGATATATTTGGGGTAACACTTTATTTTGATAGTCCCTTTTGAACATCCCGTTAACTAAAAGTAACTTTGCAACTACATGTCAACTAACTCTCATTAGAGTATTAGTAGACTATATGCTTAATATCTGCCAACTCTTTATTGTGAGGCTCCTCCAACAAACATTCTACTGACTATAAGTAACTTTGCAATTACATGTCAACTCATTCTATCCCTAACCCTACCAGTCTACTAATACTCTACTAAAACTCTAGTGAGAGTTAGTAGAGATGTAGGTGCAACGTTACTTATAGTCAACTGAATTCAATTCAAATTTATTTGTATAGCGCTTTTCACAATACATATTGTTTCAAAGCAGATTTACAGAAAGTGCATTTCAGAAATGTACACGGAAAAAACACATTTAGTTAATTTAGGGTATAACATATTGCCGGCGTTGAGTCGTCTCTTCACAGGCGTTGAATGTGTTGCAAGGGGCCATGCAAATAAAGCGAAATCTTATTTGGATGTATACATTTTTATGTAGGAAAAACAAAACCAAGAAAAATTAATAAATAAGAGGAAAAAAGCAGGGGGAAAAAAATCCATATTCATCTGACCTTGCATTGACCTGTATGGATGTTTTATGGAAAGGTGCGTCTGACAAACTACTTTAAGTTTTCCAGGTTGGTTCTAGACTCAACGGCTTTATCATCACATCAGCGGTGATCCCTGCGCCAGGCTCGGCTCTCTGATGAAAGCGTATATTACAGCCGTGGCGCGCAAAAAATAAATAAAAATACCTCCTGCATTACAAACAGAGCCTCACCAAGGTGCAGAGCACACTCGTTCACTTCAGTGCAGGAGCGAGGGACAGAGTGATGTATGAGTGCTTTAAACAAGGACAATCTCTACAAACAAGAAAAGATGGAGAACGAGAGAGAGAGAGAGAAGAAAAGAGCCAGCGATAAACTTCCACAGCAAAACAAAAATACTGCAATAAAGGAGCATACATACATGATGGTTTCTTCATCCTCCAACAAATTTCCCACTGAAAAGGCTTAACTGCAGCTGATTTGGTATCTCCTCATTACAGTTTCTAAAGGTCTAAGCTGCAAATTTAGGCACAGCTGCAGACCTCCAACACAATAAACCACATCCATCAAGCTGTAAGACCATGATAGCAAAAAGAAACTACATTTGCACTATCTCAAGGGAAGTGCCTGCTTCTCCATGGCCATGATGTGCTGTTTAATATTTTGATGGAAATTTGGAAACCATTATGTGTTTTTCAAGAATCTTTGATAAAAAAAGTTCAAAAGAACAACATTTATTTGAACTTTTGTAAATGTCATAGCTGCCAATTTAACTGTAGCCCATGAACAACAATAATAATAATAGTGTCATTAGCCTTAACAAGCACCACTGATATACCCTATATTTAGACGCTATAGGTTAGGCATGATTATGTATAAGTTAAAAACTATAAGAATAAATAATGTGTGAAGAATGCTATCATGAGTGTTGACCTTTTTAAACACAATATATAGTAAAAAAAAAAAAAAAGCAATGTGCTTCTAGAATGTTAGTGAAGGTCTATAATGTTGCGCATGCTCTCAATGGTGAAACACAGTAAATGCAGTCCATTGTGTCATGCAGAGTAAATGAATGGTAGCTGTAAAGAACAGGACAGGAGTGTATGGGGAGCCATGGTCGGTGTGTGTGTGTGTGTGTGGTAGTGAGTTCTCTGCGCTCTCATTACTGCTTTGTGAGAATGTGCACTCGTTTGTCTCTGTGCCGCTCTCTGCCCTATGCTTCAGGCCACTTTCATTAGTCTCTTCGGCTCTTCCTCTTTCGCCTTCGTCCCATTTGCTGTTTCCCGTTCTTATAAGAATCTTTCTTTTGCTCTACATGACTGTTTGGCACCATACCGCTTAATTTCTTTATCCTCTCCTACATTTTTTCCTGGCTCGGGTGCTGCAAACCGACCCTGTTGATATGGAGAGGCTGCGTGTCTCTCATTAGTGTGAGGATGAGGTCTGTGTGTCTTAATGAGTGCTAAAACACAAGCTACGATGGAGACACTGCACCACTACATGACTTCTGATTTGTTCTTTTCACATTCACCAAGAAGCAGCAGATGCCAAGTTTCTCCTAAACTTTTTAAGTGAGAGAAAGGAGAGCAGGATGTAGTACTAGAGAGACAGAGCAGCTGTGACATGAAGCACTAACATAGTTATTTCCATCAACTGTAGGTTATGGGATCATCATTTAATGAATGTAAAAGCTAAAGTTCAGCAGCTAAAGTTTGATTAAATGTTTCATTGTGCCTAATCGAATGAGTTTATGTCTAAATCTTGTAAAATCATTCAATAGACTGAAATTAGCTAAAGGAGAAAATCTTGCTTGACAGATTTGGCCAATATTCGCTTTCGTTGCAAGGAGAAAAAAAAAAAAGCAGCATGGACATACTGTTATGGGATTGAGTAAATGTTGACATTTCTGGACTGAACTGCTTTAATATGGTAGAACATTTACTCTATTGTAGGACAAGCTTAACATGCAAAAGTCAATTGAATAAAAAAATCTAATCCTTTATCTCTCTGGCCAATAACATTCAATTAATATTCTAAAAAAAAAACATTCAAATCCGTCCATCTTTTCAGATTCCCTCAAGCGTCTTTGATGCAAACACACACGGTGGTAGACATCTTTCATAAGTACGCATCTCCTCAGTTAGGCTCATAAAAACTCACTCACGTCCAGACCGTGCCATCTGAGAGAGACAGTCTCATTCCTCTCTTCAAATAGAACAGGGCTGAAATACCACTTTCTGACTTTAGAGATCATTTGCTCGATTTGCATTTTGCACTGGGGGCCGCTGAGAAACTCACTTTCTTTTCATCTCTTTCTTTCCCCGACTCTTCAGCAGAAGTTTTGGCAGGAGACTCGACGGAACGTGACAGCGGATAAGGGCACTTGATCAACCTAACGAGCTCGCACGCAGACAGGCGTCCGATTAGTTGCAATGGAGCCTGTCTCGCACCATTCGGGACTTTAGGAGCTCCGCACAATGCAATCGGTGACACATAATTTCCCCCTCTGCACGCCGTACGGCTCGCCATATAATCTAGAGAAGTATTAGAAATGATTATACCATCTGTCTAACTGCAATCTAGTGGTCTAAGCCTGGAAATGGCACCTGGTGAATGGCTGAAGCCACATTTGCATGGAAATAAACATGACTTTGGCTCAGTGGGAGGAACAGGTTCATGCTACTGGTACTCCTTTGGCAGGACTTGACACGCATCCCAAATGCATTTATGTGATAAACAATATGGATCAAATCGAGTTTTTTGTTTATTATTATTATTTATCAGCATTACTTTATATTTTTAGATATTTATAATACTATTCAAAAGTTTTTAAAATGGCTTTGAAATAAGTATTATGCTGTTATAAGATCAAAATTAATCTAGTTCTATTGTAATATATTTTAAATGTAATATATTCCTGGGATGGCAAAGTCTTTAGTGTTACATGATCCTTCAGAAATCATTCTAATATGCTGGTTTGGTAAGAGGAACATTTCAGATTTGTATCAATGTTGTGATGTTAAGCTGATTTTTCAGGATTCCTTGATGAATAGAAAGTTCAAAAAAATTTGGAACATATGTTTTGTAACAAAATTGTTTTTTTTAAATAAAGCACTAAAAAGTAAAAG